TCTCGGCAATTTCATATCGTTTGAGCACATTATCGTACGATGAAATTCTGCGTGCAACGTTCGGCTCGGGACTCGATTTTTGCGATACGTATCATATTCCCCGGCACCGCGCCGCCTTAAATATTTGAACAGAGAGCCGATCGCTGGGGCTATGACTGGCCGCGGTGGAAACCAGAGCGTTCAGGATTCTGGATCAAGCCATGATTCCTGGCCCAACCACACGATCTCGTCCGTGGTCACGCGTGGGATCTACGCTAATGGATTGCCGGCCGATACATTCTCCCCTCTATCAAACGGACGGAGATAAGCGATAAGTATCGCGAAAATCCGAACGCCTTTGACGGCTCGAGCGACGACCCGGAATTACCGGGTGAACGAGAGACGGTTTTACAGGGAATTTTAAACCGCCCACACTTTATCGAGCCTGGAATCAAACGAATTTATTATCACTTTAACGCTTGGGATCTTACGTGTTGCCGATAAATTGAACATTTTCGCTGGGAATTAAACGGATGCGGCAAGTTTTTTAAATATTCAACTCGTAGTTTAACAACTGTGGTACATATTTAGATTTGCTCAATTTTACAAACAGCACAATGTTAGTCAAAACAACTACTTAGCGTTGGATCCAACGCTTAATGCGCAGCGTCTGCATTCCTCGAATGAACGTATGCATTATTCGTGGAACGTTCTACTTTGTTCCGTCTATCTCGTGTACCTATATATATACGTGTATAATTTAACAAATGCGCAATGTAGTTCTGTGGGATATTGTAACGTTAAATTTTGAGTAATTCTATCTAATTTCGATGTTGGTTACACATTCGTAATCCGACCTGTATTTCGAGAGCACCCGAAAGATGTATCGTTAGAATTCTCATTGCTATATGATTTATATGTATTGCACACATGAACGTTAATGTCAAATGTGATAAGCGTCAATGTTGCATCCGTCTCGGTCCCAAGCCAGAATCCCATATTATTTTGCAGCACGTTACGTGTCACGTTCTACCGCGAGATATGGTAATTATGACACGCGTCAAAACGTTCGTTTGGTGCGTAGGTATTTCTAGAAACAGGAACGCGAACCCGTTGCCCCGTAGGCATTCGCCACTCTCGAGAGCACCGAAGCTCGCTCGAAACCAAAATGGTCTCCGTAGATGGTGTACTATAATCCGTCGTTTAATTAGATCATTAATTATATGGTACCAATCAGCCACTTAATCCGTTTTTGGATACCCGCGATGCCGTTCGCCGCCGGTAATAGGTGATTAATAATAAAATAATTTAATTAACTGCTCGACAGCTGGACCAGCTCCGCGTCCACCGCGGAATAATCCTCGCAAACCGATTAATTCGTTCGCTTGCCGCGTTGCATGGCGTCGTCGATGGAGAATTTTTCGAAGTACCGTAAAAACGAACGAGAAATTTCAGGGTGGGACAGGTGGCGCGTGAAGCAAGGTATTTTCGATTCGACGTTCCTCGACAAGTTCCTCCTGGGTCCTGGAAGGCAAGCGATAACTTATAGGGAACCAGGCGCTCATCGATCCACAGCCCCGAACCCAGTCGAGAAATTCGATGCTTCAAGGCGGATTAAGAACACGCAGTTGTCGTCCAAAAACCGTGGCTCCGGAGCCCCGTGAAATGAGCGTTCCTGTTAGCTTGTCGAGCCTGAAAAAAGGCAATCCTGGTTCTCAGGAGGTGAGCAGGGTACGATGGTGAAATGATTCGGTGATCTCGACAGAACGCACGATAATCCTTGGTGTCACGAGGGGCGGGGGTGGAGGGGGTAGGAAAAAAGGGGTGCAAGCGGGAAGAACGCTCGAGGGAAAGGGTTCGTAACGAAGCGAGAGGATCCGTGTACAGCGTATAAAGACGGGATTATAATAAGCCGGGCCACGTTACGAAATTGTTTCGTTCTCTATTAATAACGGTAGGCTGGTTGCCGAAACATGGTCGGGGCACGCGGCGGCGACGGCAGCAGCGGCGGCACCCCTTTCGACACGCGACGATTATTATTACTGCCACCAGGAGGGGTGTCTTTCACCCCTCGCGATGCGCGCGAGCAGAGTGTTGTTTTGCTTGAAACTACGAGGCTTCGTTTCCAGTCATAATAGCTGACCGGTTTTCATCTTCTTGATGCCTCTCGTTGCAACGTAACGAAGGGCTCGGAGCCCTTCAAAAGAAATAAACTGCCTTTGATACATACTTACGAAGACGCTTGTAATTGAATTTGACGGGCATCGAGAGGCATCCGACGCGCGTGTTGCACTATTAGCTTCTCGTTGAACGGAGGTAGAATATAATGCTACGAATATTCGAAGAGACTTCGGTAGCGAACTGTCATTGTAGAATACAACGGAGAGGTCTGGCTTTCCGTTCGAGTACACACTCTTGATATCACGTAGACGGAGGTTTAAGGGGAATAGGTCAGACTACCGAGGGGAGCTATATCACAGGTCCATCTAACAGGATGACTAAAGCGAATCAACATTTTAATCTGTATCCCTCGATAACGGAGCCGAATCGATCCATATGTTTGTATCCTATCTATCAATGGGAATAATCTCCCGAACACACTAGCGAAGTTCATCGATATCGTTGCTGAAAAGCCCATTGATACCGGAGCTACGTAAAACCACTCTCTGATATTACTGGAAAATTCGGATTGGTAACCGCTTAATTGGTTGGCACAGCAAATCCTGGCGACGACGCTTTCGGATCTTCGGTCGACAAAGACAACGTAGGTTGCCGCAGCAATTTACTTTCTGCAACAGTCGCAGTGATGACGACGCGCCTCCATTGTTCGTACGCGCTATTAGGTTTCCGATGCTGCCTCCGGTGCAACCGTCATCCTTATCGAGACGGAGGGAGAGGTTGAGGCCTCGTTTGAGCGAGGGACCGGAGGGAGGACGCATTACCGATGGCACAATGAGGGAAACGCGGCAGGCAAGTTGGTCCCCGATACGGATTGCGGCGGCATTGATAGTAACGAGCCATTAGGGTACGCGTTAAACGTATCTCTGGCGAATTTCGCTCGGCTGAGAAACGCCCAAGGTGATGCTTTCGCGATGAACTAAATTTTCGGCAAGCTGGATTACCGCTAGCTTTTGTTTCACCGAAGTCTACTTTCGAGATTCGCTGCTCCATCTTTACTTCACATTGCTAACTTCCTATGATAGTCGTCTTTCTTGTGCAAGCCAATATTAGTGTATTCGGCGTTAGCTTGAATTCGAATGATCGATAGATTGCTATGGAATATGGATCGCATCGCAAGATGTGTACCGAGCAGTGATTGCTCCGTTTCTCATCCGATAAATTAGGAATACAATTTGTTTATCCGTGCATTCGACACGACTCACAGAATAATATCGGTGATGAAATATTTTAGATTTTCCGTTCCAGTATGGAGATCAATCTGCTGAATAATTAATCGAAATTTTGTATCTTTGAGAGTTCCGTTACGTTCATGTTGGAATTTCATATCGCGGTATTCGTTCTTCGAATGAAATGTTTCTCAATGTACGAACGGCTTTGAGGCGTTTCGTATCCCGAGTTGGAACACACGGGTTCTCGTGTGGACTTCTATCGACGACCGATATTCGTGTCTTGAATTCAACGATCGAAACTAAAACGCAACGCGGTCGAACAGCGCGTTTGGAATAGTTTCTGTGGGGGAACGAGTAAACTTCGAGGTCCGCCCGGAGCTGCGAAAAGGTTACATTCACTCGAGGAGCTCGAGTATATACACGATTGTATGCTAAATCAAACTGTGCGTCGAATCGGAGCACTTGCAGCGCGCGTGTCGGCGCTCCGCCATTGTTACACTTCCTGCTCGCTCCTCGTTCGCATTCCGTTTAGCATGCTACTTGATCGATCATGCATCGCACCGTCTTTGTCTTTTGCATTATTCATGATTACGCGCGTACTCGAACGCGGCATCGTAATCGGCGTAATCGAACTCTTCGCGTGCCTCTGTTTTCTCATTCTATTTTTTTCTCGTACGATATTTTTATTTCCATTTTCTTGTCCTTTCCCGACTCAACAAGCATACGAACATTTCGCAAAATCGGGATTTCGCTTTAAAAGAATGTAGATATTAAAAACGAAATATAGTGTACTTCAGCAGTTTTTTAGTATACACACTCTTCTTAACTGTAGAGAATTTCCTTGCGTTGAATCGACGTTTTGTCAAATATTCTCTACAATTTTCACTGTTCAAGCGAATAGGCTGTACTTACAGAAAACTACGTTCAATTCCATTGAATGTATAGTCGCTTTGGAAAGTAAGTTAACACTCCCTATAATTCATTTAATTCAGAAACAATGATGAACGTCGTATTGCCATGAGACGAGACGTTATTGTATAATATTTGTTTTTTACATTTATTCGAGACTCAATAGCGTTTTCAGCATTTTGGCGAGATGTCGTATTAAATTCGGTTGCTCGTTAACTTACTTTCCAAGACGACGTATAGTATTTTACACATCTGTGTTATTCGTTTGACCGAATGATAAGTAAAAAGTACGATTGACCTCGAGTGTTCCCACGACGAATACTTGTACCGCGAGCGTAAACGGCGTCGAAGGAACCGCGTAACACATAGCCAGCCCATTGAGAACCTCGCTTACGGATAGCAACCGAGCAACAGGGCCAATCCCTGCTAGATTACTTTTCAAGTATCTCAATGGAACTAGTTTAGTCGACTGCTTATGGCTTGTTATCGCGGTGAATGCGAGGCTGCGCGACAAAACGACACCCCGCACAAAGCCGCGGGCCGGCATAAAAGAGCGTTCGGGACCATTCAAAATTGTTGCGCCGCGTTAACAGTCATTAACTTCGTTAAGTGGATACACGTACGGTGCATACGTACAGACGTGGCCGTCGAATCCGTCACATTTTAATGCCTCCGTCATTGTCCGTGGCGTAATGTTTCCGGTTACACGAAGCGGAACATCGGTTTCTTTCTTCTCACCCTTCGGCGGTGTTTTTGTTTCAGTGTAGTTGCGGCTTCCGGCGCGTGACAGCCACGAAAACGAAGATCGTCGCAGTGTGAGTCGGTGCATCGTGAGACAGGTGAGTTTGAAAGGCTGTGTATTCAAAGAAACGAGAGGAAGCATAAAATGCAACCCAGGTTCGAAACTACAATGTTCAGAGCACATTTAACCCCGATGCAGATCGTATGAAAAAATTCAGATCATGAGACTTTGTTTGACATCTATTTTATTTTTATCCGATTCGTCTGGAACGAGTTAAGTACGTCGCGTTGTCTGTCGTACCCCGTCAGTAAAAATGAATACTTCATGCGATCGCATTATTATGAGATTTCACGAAGTTGGCGTTGAATCACGAGAGGTTAATTTCGCCGGTTTTCCGGGTTAGAACCGCGATTTAGAGGCGATAAGCCGACTGATTATCGTCTCCGACTGGATTCCTTAAAAATTCTCGTTGCCGGTGAAACGACGCCAGTTCGCCGGGTCGAGACAGGCCGTCGCGTTATCACGGGAATCACGATGTAGTTTGGCGAGGCGGGCGTCGCGATCAGGAGATACGTGCCACCATAAAGCTTGCGTTATCTTAACGTTATTGCATATGACGGACGTGTTACGTGGTCCCGGTGCGGTGCCGTTCCACCGCAACTGCGACAGATGCGAGCATCCAGCGGATATTGTCCGTTCGAGTGCAACCCAACTACGGGGACATTAATAGAATATTGATAAACAAAGGTGCGACCCATGCCGTTAGCCCGAAATTACAGTACGCCGGGATATTGAGATTCCGTTTGCTTCGAGTTCCTCGTTTGAATACTATCCAATATATTGCTATGTAGGAACATGTATAATGGTGGAGTGGTGTATTAGAATATTAGATGAAGCCTTTCTTCAAATACAAAGAACGTAAAAAATTCTTGTAAGGGTCAAAGTATTTACAACTCTATACAAACGCCAACGATTTTATCAACAGAATGTCAGTTGAAGCAATTGGAGGATACTCTCGTTCGATAGACTTTCACCTAGATCAGGTGAAACATCACAGGATGCAACGTTTGATATTCACTGAGCATGATTATTCAACGATCCAACGCGTTATTCGTCGTAACTAGATTTTTCAGCGATGCACTGTTATTAGATGCAACGTCGTTCGACAGACGGCCGTGGCCGATCGGAATATCAACGAGCAAAAGGGGTGGAGAGCGATGCAAATCGGGGGTGCGCTACCGCGATTGGATTATCACGAGCGATCGGTCAAACGGCGCATGGAAATTTTAATTATCGAAACGGCCGTGCATCGTCGTCCGGCTGAAATTACTTAAAGCACCGGGGATACTTTTTCGCCCCGCGATCGTTGATAATCCCCGCGAAGCGACGCGTTGCGAGGCTGCCGGACAAGCGAGTGGCCGATGGATCGAGGACAGTGAGCAGATGGCCGGACCCGGTCCCGTTGAAGGTAATCTCGTTGATTTCGCAAGATACCGCGCGCAGTAGTCGTGCAGATTGCCGGCCAGAAGGACTCTATTGGATCAACGGCCCCACCCTTTGTCTCGTCACGCTTTCAACCGTGTCCTCGGGACAAAGTACCAACTGGTACTGTTTTTAAATAGTTTAGCTGGGAATTGGGCAGTTGCCGCCGGCTATCAAAGTAGCTTTTGTTCGGGTCGTAGTTTGCTGATTCTCGGACCACCGTTGACCGGACCAGACTACCGGTCGTATATTTAGATCTTAATAGATAGGGTAAAGAGTTTACGAAAGGGATTTCCCTTTGACTCTGGCCTTTGGGAATTTCGGACGTAATTCAAGTGGAAGCTAATCTTGAAATATGTATACGATTAGGATTACAGTTTTTTCGTATGCAGTGGGTATACCTCTGGAAGATAAAGGTCAGTCAAACTGGTAGATGTTGCTCTCGTCTGCATGATTATTGACAAGTTATACAGGGTGATTCTATCGTTGGAGGCTCTAAAAAAAGTAAATGTCGCCCATTTTCCACTATCAACATTCTGAACATCAAAAGATCAGCCGCACCAGAAGGTGGAAAAGGATCGAGTTTCCTCGTTTAATCGCTTTCCGCCACGAAAACGCAATTCTCCGGCGTAACGAAGCCCGGTTTGCGGTCGTTTCCCGAATTCAATTCATCGCGTTAGGTAAATCCACCGACCGGCCAGAGAGGAGTCGGTGAGTGGGGGTAAATCGTTGATATGGTCCCGCGGATGGGCATAAAGGTATCGTCCGCCTATCGAGATCTTTCCGACAACCGTGTCCGTCGTTGATGTTCTCTCGGAGCGATAGCAGACGGAGAATCCTGGCGTCGGCGTCGGGTCGAAGCTCGCGCGGCATTCGGCGTCAGCGTCTTGAATGGTGACAAACGGCATGTACCGCGAACACACAGTCGCGCGTCGTGGCTGCAACTCGAGGCATGAAGGGGCCCTGCAGCGCGTGAGCAATGCGGATGCACCGCGGAGCCAGCGGGCGAACACACAGTTGACAGAAGCGCTTACGGAGGCGAGAGATCGTGCCTATGTTTCATCGTCCCTACCACTCTCTCTTCCTCTCTCTCTACCTCTCCGGCTCCCGTTTCACCTTGTCCCGTCGTGCCTCCACGCGTTTCGTCGCCGTTCTCTCGGTGCCTCGCGATCTCCTCGCGTTAGAAATCGTCTCCACGGTCCTGTTTCGCCTCTGTTGTTCGCCCGGTTACGCTCCATCGTGCCGCCGCCACCGCCAAGATACGGCTCCCGGGCTCCGGTGATTCTTGGCGACGTGTGCCGAGAGGTTCGCGAATCGGCAGCTGGGATTTCGTGGCGTGATTCAAATTTCGAATGAACTTGACTAGGTTGTCTACGCTCGGGGACAATTATTCCGGGGGAATCTCGGCAGCTTGGTTTCGTGGAATATGTATGTACACCAACTCTTTTGAATACAGTTCCTCTATTTCTATTCTGGCGGAAGTATAACACTCCACGTATATTGTAGCAGCGATACTTGACCAATAGATTGATTTAATCGTCCCCTTGCGAGCAAGTTTTTTTATTTTAAGATCATTTCGTTCCGAGGAAGACATGTTCGTAAATCGGGTCGATAGAAAATTCGCTAAACGTGGATATATACTTACAGTTCGCGCCGATTTTCCACGAATCCAAATTGAAACCGACGAAATCCAGACCGCTCGATTGTTATTCATACAATATATGGGCTTCTGGTTTGCCGCGGGGAGCGTATATATTTCGGAACGGTTACAAGGGACATTAAAACGGCGGATCGATTAAACGCGGCCAATTAAAACTTAATGGCGTCGAATTAAGCTCCATAAAAGCCGTAGAGCGAGATTTTTTACCGACTCCCGGCACTTCGTTCTCCTCCTTTTTTTTTCTCTCATTGCGAATAAATGTTCAGCGTCGCGCGGGGCGGCCGCGAAACTCTTCATTTTTTCCCTCGTTCGATACGCTGGCGGATTTAGATACACGTTCGAACATACACAGGGGAATTTTTTCCATCCAGAACCAGAACCGCGGGAGTAAGATCGCGTTCGATGCAGCGCGTAACACGGTAAATAAAAGCGTCTGTTTTCCGGTATAAGAAACTGAATGCAGCCAATTGGAAACCAAAGGAACTCGATTAAACCCAATTATATCCAATCAGGTTCGATGAATAGGATATTCTCGTTGCTCTGTCTCATCCATTTCCCCTCTCTCGTAATCTTTCCCGTATTCGTTCCTTTCCGTCTGAGTAGCGTTTTAAAGGAAGATTCGCAAAATATACAGCTCGCCGTAATCTTCTGTTTCTCGAATAAACACCGACGGCGCTCGTGGCAGTCTCGGCGACTTAACCGCAAAGGTCATCGAGAGGGGTCTTCGGTCGCGACAAGCTGCAAATCTTTTATCTCGACGCCGCAGACTAAAAGTCTTTCAATTTGCGAACGATCCATCGGTTTGAGCGTCGAGGCAACTGGTAGCCGGCTACAGGGGCTGAAGTTTCGCTACTAGGTCGACTTAAAATTCTAATTCCCTCCCTCTCTCTCTCTCTCTCTCTCTCTCTCTCTCTCGCGGTTCCTTTATTCCGTCCCATCCAATAATCCTAACTTTCGTTGCTCTTTCGCCCGAGCCCCGCGAGAGTGTACATACGCCTGCGTGTGGTGTCACACGCACACGTAGTAGCTTTTAAGTATGTACACGGAACCGCGTGCACGTAGACGAGAGGCACACACAGGCGCAGAAGAAAGAGGCGACTTCGGGCAAGAGAAGATACGGCGCATACGTAGCGAGGCCACACAGCACAGTACAGCTCCGAAGCATAGTCTCAACTCGACTCGAGCGGCTGAATCGATCCGCGAGCCTTCCCCTGCACACTATCTCGCTCCCCCTCTCTCTCTCTCTCATTCTCTCTGCGGCCCCAGAACCCACGTCGACCGCCCAACCACCCACCTGCATCCTCTTTCTCTTTCTCGGGCTCTGGCACCCCCTGTCCCGTTTCAACCCCAGCTCTGCCTCCTCCTTCTCGGCCAAGCTTCCTTCTTCTTCAACCTACCCGCCTCCTTCTCCCGGCGTCTCCCTCGACGCCGACCCCCATCGTCCAACCTGGTCACGCGAACCTTTCAAAAATGCCTCCTGGCCCTCTCGCGCCCTCCGCGTGAATTTCTTCGATATTTCGCTTCCGCTCTCGACCGACCTCCCGACACGTCGAACCGCCCTAGGCTTGATTTTTGCCAACTGTTTTGGAACTCGGTTGGACCATCAGTTTCAAGAATATAAGATAACTCGGGGGTGCTTTTTTGAGGTACTCGAATCCTTTTAGTTTGGGTTTTGTTGGGCCATGATTTCTGTTCCTGTAGTACCTAATATAAATACCTTTTCAAGGATCAAGAATTTGTATTGTTTCATGTTAAACGATACGTGTTACTTCTTGGAGATCGAATTTTCCGACATTGTTAAGTCGAGTCACCGAGTATACGTTGGCCCGCAGAAGGTGCTTGGGAAATCGGCAAGGCGACTCGGTCTTTCGCGGTGAATATCGACTTCTGGAACGGTTGGGAGCACTCGGAGGGTCGAGGGGTGAAGCTTTGGGGTGCTGTCTACCAGAATTTAT